CTCAATAAGAAATAAGCAAAATCTATATGAGAGAAATGTTAAGACACTCCTGAAAAACAGAAAAGTAGATTTTTAACAAAAATATACTATGCTCTTGGACAGTAAAATCCAACATCACAAAGATGCTGGTTCACTCTAGTTAATTTAATAATAAAACATGGAATACTGGCCGGGCACGGTGGTTTATGCCTGTAATCCCAGCACTGTGGGAGGCCGAGGTGGGCGGGTCCTGAGCTCAAGAGATCGAGACCATCCTGGCCAAAACGGTGAAACCCTGTCTCTACTAAAAATACAAACAATTAGCTGGGTGTGTTGACATGCACCTGTGGTCCTACCTACTCAGGAGGCTGAGGCAGGAAAATCGCTTGAACTTGGGAAGCAGAGGCTGCAGTGAGCTCAGATCAAGCTACAGAGAAAGACTCCATCTCAAAAAAAAAAAAAAAACATGGAATACTATTCAAGGACATGGATGAGCTGGAAGCCATTATCCTCAGCAAAGTAACACATGAACAGAAAATCAAACACCACATGTTCCCACTTATAAGTGGGAGCTAAACAGTGAGAACACATGGACACACAGGGCTCTGTTTTGGGGTGGGGTTGAGGAGGGAGAGCATTAAGAAAAACAGCTAATGCATGCTGGGCTTAAAACCTAGGTGATGGGTTGACAGCAACCATCATGCAAACCACTATGGCACACATTTACCTATGTAACAAACCTGCACGTTCTGCACATGTACCCTGGAACTTAAAAATGTAAACAATAACAATAAAACATATCCTAAGAAAAATACCAGTAAGTTTTTTTGTGATGTTAAACAAATTTATATGGAAAAATAAACATTTAAAAATCACTAAGTAAACTATGAATGTAAAGAGCTATGAGGGAGTCTATGAAAACACTATAAACGCTCTCTTGTCAGAATATGGTATAGAGCATGACTACAGAACAAAGCATGCAGACCAGAATAGAAAATCCAGAAACACATCCAAGTACATAAGGAAATTTAGCATGTGACAAACAGAGCAATCTCAAGTCAGTGGGACAAGGGTAGACTTTAATAAATGATGCTGGGACAACTGGATAGCCATCTATAAAAACACAAAAATTGGATTCGTATCTCATACTACATGCCAAAATAAACTCTAAATGGCTTAGAGGACTAAATGTGAAAAAATGAAACTACACAAGTACTGGAAAACATGAGTGAGTTACTCTATAACCTGGATTTTAGAAAATTTCAGAATATAAATCAAGATCTACATGCAAAAAGATAATAATAAATTCAAACTATATTTTGCTCGGTTAAAAAAATGCCATCAGAAATTCAAAAAATACTGGGAAAAATATTTGTAACATATTATATAGGTAAAAGACTAATATCCTTAATATGTAGAGAGTTTTACAAAGTAAGAAAAACAATACCAAAACCTTAAAAGAAAGGTGAGCAAAAGACATGAACAGACAATTGTAATATCCCTTAACATGCAAATATTTTCAATTTAACTGAAAAGAAAAAGTTAAAAAAAACAGTGAAACTATGCTAAGATACCCTCTCTCACCTATGAAATTATTTTTAAGTGTTTTTTTTTTGAAGTTGGAGACAGACTGTCACTATGTTGCCCAGGCTTGACTCAAACTTCTGGGCTCAAGTGATCCTCCAAGCTAGTAGTTGGTATTACGGGCACAAGCCACCATGCCCAGCTCACACCTATGATATTATTAGCAAAAACCAAAACCTCTGCGGGCCACTCATTATTTTGCCAGGGAGAATACAAAATATTATAACCTTCATAAAGCAGAATCAACACAGCATTTACCCTTTACCTCAAAATCCCACTTCTAACAATTTATCCTAAATAAAGACCTCCTTACATATATATTATGTAATTGTATAATGTATATGTTGTACATATGTATTATTATACATATACATATTTTTATTATTATACATATATACAAGGTTATTCACTGCAGTATTTTGGTAATTATAAAATACTGAAAATGGTCAGACTTGGTGGCTCACACCTGTAATCCCAACACTTTGGGAGGCCAAGGTGGGTAGATCACCTAAGGTCAGGAGTTCGAGCCCAGCCTGGCCAACATGGTGAAAGCCTGTCTCTACTAAAAATACAAAATCAGCCAGGCCTGGTGGACGCACACCTGTAATCCCAGTTACTTGGGAGGCTGATACAGGAGATCACCTGAACCCGGGAGGCAGAGGTTGCAGTGAACTGAGATGGCACCACTGCACTACAGCCTGGGCAATATGAGACTCCACCTCAAAAAATAAACAATAAAATAAAAAACTGAAAATAACCAAAATGACCATATACATATGAGAATGGTCAAATAAACTATGGCACATTCACACAATTTAGTACTATGTACTATTTCATTTTGTTATAAAAATGAAGGGAAAAATTACCTCTGTAAACTTATAAACAGCCATGGGGAGATTTCTAGGATATATTATTAAGGGGTAAAAGCAAATATAGATGGATATGTGAATTATCCCAATCTGATCACTAAACATTACATGTATCAAAACATCTATGTACCCCATGAATATGCATATTTATTGTCAATTAAAATAAAGTAAAATAAAAGCAAATATACCATGTCATCTTTCACATAAGAAAGAAGAGAAAATAAGGATATATATATCTGCTTACATTTATAAAAAGAAACACAGAAAGAATAAATTTTAAAACTAAGGAAACTGGTTACCCACAAGAGTAAGGGCAGATGGGAACTAGTTACAAGGGATAGGGGACGATGACACTACCCTGAAAACATCTTTTTATACAATTTTGTCCAGCAGAGAGGTAAAAACCTAAAACTGAATACAAATAGAAACAAATGAACCTAATTATATTTCAAACGAACACAATAACCTTTTAAAAATCTGCTAACAATCTTGAGCTCTACTTAGCAGGTTTATTTTTGCAGTAGTATGGGTGCAGCAATTCCAACACCACTTTCTATGTATTGCAGGATCGAATAGGAATCAATACACTTGCATAATGCTTGGAGACATGCTGCTCAGTGTTAAAGAAGAGCGATTCAAACATGGAATAAAAGAGGACCAAGATAAAACCAGGAGTGTTAAACTGGACTTGGAGCCATCAGTGTAAATTCATGGTTTATAGCTATATAGACAGAAAACTAGATACTACTATAGACATGGTCATATACATGTGACTACAGGTATATATGTACGATTGCACATATATGTATCTGTTGGCCTAAAAACCATTATGTCAGGGTCAATAAGCAGACCTAATACTTAGATCTTGATTTCTAAACACCCTCCTTTAATAAAATGAACCAAGGATTCTTGAAGAAATGGTTGATTCCAGGGAAAGGGAAGAGAAAGTATAAGAGCTATGTTGTGCCAGAAATCAAATGTTAAAGAAGATATGTGGGCCGGGCGGGCGGCTCACGCCTGTAATCCCAGCACTTCGGGAGGCCGAGGCGGGCGGATCACGAGGTCAAGAGATCGAGACCATCCTGGTCGAAATGGTGAAACCCCGACTCTACTTAAGATACAAAATATTAGCTGGGCATGGTGGCGCGTGCCTGTAATCCCAGCTACTCAGGAGGCTGAGGCAGGAGAATTGCCTGAACCCAGGAGGCGGAGGTTGCGGTGAGCCGAGATCGCGCCATTGCACTCCAGCCTGGGTAACAAGAGCGAAACTCTGTCTCAAAAAAAGAAAGAAGATATGTTAAAAGGACACACGAATTACTTGAAGAAGCTCCCAAATATGTGACAAGTGAACATCAAAATAAATAAAAGATGAAACAGAGTATAATCCATTGAAGGAACATGCAGACATCACTGTAACCAAACAATGACAGTTAACAGCACCAATCATGAAACCAAGGTATCACTGCCTCTTGACATGATGCACTGATGACTTAGCAGCACTTCAGGGGTATTCCTGCCCAAAATGTATAAGTAAGCTGAGTCTAATAATGAAGAAATTATAAGACAAAGTCAAGTTAGAGACAATTCTGCAAAATAACTGCCCTGCCCTTCAAAACCATAAAAATGTCATAAAAAGCAATGAAACACTAAGATTATATTTTAGGAGATTCCAGATTTTTTTTAATGAAAGACATGAAAACTAAATACAGTAAGTGATTATGATTGTTTCTTCGATCATTCAAAAGAACATAAATAACATTATTGGGACAACTGGAGAAATCTAAATAAGGTCTATAGATTAGATAAGAGCATTAAATCAATGTAACTTCCTGATTGTGGTCACTGTACTGATTGTATCTCAATGAATGCTCTTTTTCTTAGGAACCACACACTGAAGTATTTAGGGATAAAGAAACATGAAGTATGCAGCTTACTTCCAAATGGTTCTTTAACAATGTGTGTCAACTGCAAAGATACGGAACCTAGGTGCCCGTCAGCCAACGAGTGGATAAAGAAAACGTGCTGTAGGTACACCACGGAATACTACTCAGCCAGACGCACACCCACACAAAAAATCATGTCTTTTGCAGCAACGTGGATGGAGTTGGAGACCATTATGCTAAGTGAAGGAACTCAGGAACGGAAAACCAAATACTGCATGTTCTCACTTTCTAAGGAACTACGCCATGGGGATGCAAAGGCGTAAGGAGTGACGGAGCAGACTCTGGAGACTCAGAAGGAGACGGGCAGGAGACAGAGGGGGATGAAAAACCTCCGTGTTAGGTACAATGCGTGTGATTCAGGTGATGGGTGCACATGTGCATGCATCTCAGAAAAGGAGATAAAATGATAAAACAAATGTGGAAAATGTTGATAATTGATGAATCTCAGTAAAGAGTATATAAGAGCTTTTTATAATATCCCTGCAAATTACTTTGAAATATCAAAATAAACAATTTTTAAACAAAAGTAAACTCCCATTTACTAAAAAATGATGCAATCAACAAACACTGAAACGGCCATGGAAAAAAGCTGGGAGTCATAAATATTCCTGCCATATACACATACCTGTTTGTATTTGTGTTAGACTGAGAGTTCAGGGAGTTATCCAACTCATTCTCATCCTCACTTTCTCCTGACTGGCTATTCACAGTTCCCTCTTCTTCACCATCTACGTCGTTAAGAGCCTGTCTCAACAAAACAATAAAAACAGCACAAGTTGAGTATATATACACTCATACTTTCTCTTTTTCCTGTCATAACAGAAAAGAGGCCCCTTCTCCTAAGCCCCCCACATGTTCTAGAACACAAATCCTCTCATATCCTTCCGCTCCTATCAATTATCCTATCTCTCTACCACATTTTCAACCTTTCTCTCTCTGTAATGGCTTCAGCTGACCAACATCTAAACGTGAGCAAGCCTCTCCCCTCTTACCCTGACCCTATACTTATCTTAAACTACATATATCTTCCTTCTTCTACCACCAAACTTCTTAAAGGAGTTGTTCCGCCCTCCTCACTCACCTCCTATGCCCTGCAACTTTGCTTCTGCCCTACTGCTCTGCTCAAACTGCTCTCTACAAGGTCAACCTCAACACACTTACTCCTAAATCAAATGGGTATGTCTGTCTTTGCCTTCCCTTACTTTTCTGACCACTCATTTCTTTCCTTTAAAATCTACTTGGCCAGGTGTGGTGGCTCATGCATGTAATTCTAGCACTTTGGGAGGCTAAAGTGGATGGATCACTTGAGCCCAGGAGTTGAAGACCAGCCTGAACAACATGGCAAAACCATGTCTCTATAAAAAAATACAAAAATTAGTCAAGTGAGATAGCCCACACCTATAGTCTCAGCTACTCAGGAGGCTGAGGAGAAAGGACAACCTGTGCCCAGGAAGGTCGAGGTTGCAGTGAGCTGTGATTGTGCCACTGCAATCCAGCCTGGGCAACAGAATGGGCAACCCTGTCTCAAAAAAAAAAAAAAAAAAAATCCACTTGATACACATTTCCTTTAACTCCCATAATACTGTATTTTCTTAGATTTTCTCCTACTCTTCTGGTCATTCCTTCCCAATCGCCTTTACTGATCTTATGTTTCTACCCTTTCCTTCTATCACACCTGCTAGGTAAGCTCTCGATAAATTTTACCTATTATTATCCAGTCTTATCTTGTTTGGTACAAACGTTACACGTAGAAAGTGCAATACACTTAAGAAAGAGGAAATCTAGCAACCACAACTAGCATTTGTTGATATTTAAACTTTTAAAATGTTTACCACAAGGCCTATATTAACCTTTTCTCCCCTCATCTGATCCACTTTGAGTGGTTATATCTAATTCCAAAGCTGTAACTACAAATGAAATGCTATTAATTTCCAAAGGTCTATCCTCACACCCAGATCTGTCCTAAGCCCTAGACATTCATATGCAACTGGCCTATAAGATACCCCTATTCTGGCCAGGCACAGTAGCTCATTCCTATAATCTTAGCATTTTAAGAGGCAGGAGGATCGCCTGAGCCCAGGAGTTTGACATCAACTTGGGCAACATGGCAAAACCCCGTCTCTACCAAAAGTACAAAAATTAGGCAGGCATGGTGGTGTGTACCTGTAGTATCAGCTACTCAGGAGGCTGAGGCAGGAGGATTGCTTGAGCCCAGGAGGTGGAGGCTGCAGTGAGTCATGAGTGTGCCACTGCATTCCAGCCTCAGTGACATAGCAAGACCCTGTCTCAAAAAACAAGATATCCCTCCTCCATAGGTCCAAACTGAACAGCTTCCTAACCCCTCCCACCATTCTTCCAGATACTTTGCTCCTGCCAATATTCCCTAAGACAATGAACAGTGTCACCATCTACTCAGACGCTCAAGCCAGCAAATGAGGAGTTATCCTTCTTTCTCCCCTGTCCTGTCCTATAGGTCACCCAATCCTGCCAACTGTACCTCATTTTAACCACTCTCACGTCTATCCCTACTCTCCTCTATTTCTTTCCCCACTAGCACTGCTTTGGGTCAGGCCCTCCCCACTTCTCACTAAGACGCCCACCAAGTCTTCAAACCAGACCCTCTCTCCAGTCTTGTCCCTTTCCCAATCCATCTTCCACACTATACTGGATCTCATCATGACTTCACTCTTTAAAATCCTTCAGTGACTCTACTTTTACTTTCCAGTCCTTAGCCCTTCAGGACCTAGGTCCAGCTTCTCTCTCTCACCTCAAATCCTGCTACTTCCCCAACCCGATGACAGAGACATGCCTTAATCATCCATGTATCCTAGCATCTAGTGCATGACCTGAAATATTACATGAGGAATAAGTGAGTAGGTTCAGTCTCACTAATTCCTATACGGATGAAGAAATTAGGACCCAGAGAACTTAAGTAATACAGTAACAATTTCATCTTTTCTTGGTGACTCAAGATTATCTACAGCAACACCAATTTCCTTTCTGATGTATAGTGTCCTCTGCTTATCTATTAAGGTGTCTTCTCTCTCCTCCCTCACTGACATTCTTCTCTGCTACCTCTGCTTTGAGAGACTCCCATCACTGTTTTTCATCTGCTATCAGCTGTAAACTGAGAAAGAACTTAAACCAGGTAGGTAAATTAGTTGTATCAGTAACATTAATTTGAAATTCTACTGCTGTATTAACAGTTATAGGCTCAAGTGTGAGAACAGACTCTTCAACACAATAAAATCTGACTGCTTTATTCCATGTTTCTGGGATACACTGTTACTTGTTTCCAGGCTCCAAATAACCGAAAAAGTGCTTAAAGTAGGACTGAAATAAATATGGCCAATGGATATGGCTATTTAAAATATGTGTAACATTTTACTTAACTGCCTTTAGAAGTATGAAACAATTAATATATCTTTTATGATTCGGCCTGTTGAGAAATGTTAAGTTTATGAATATCAATACTGAGAAATGTTAAGTTTGTGAATATTGAGAAATGCTGAGTGCATGGTAAAATATATTATTTGCTAGGAAGAACGATGGCAAGGAAACCTAGCATCACCCTCCCACCGCCCTGTCCCCCCAAGAAAACTACTTGGGGCATTCCAAAGTGGCAGGACAATGTATCAATATCATACACAGGTTAAAACAATTCTTCAAGATATCTGACCTTGCCCCCGTGGCTCCCTCATGGAGAATACTTTTTAGTTTGTATGTGTTCAGTGGGAAGAGGCACCAGCTGCCTACTTGGCATATTTTGTGTTATGAGAAAATACCGAACATCTGTTTGCTAATAATAGTCGCCTGTGCAGAGAGAATAACTGTGTGGGTCAGAGTCTACTCAGGGCCTTCAGCCTAGAATACAGTCAGCCCCTGAGGCTCTCGGCTCGGAAGGCTGCTGGCCCCTCGGATAGTCCCACTTTGCTGTTCTATCTTAGCGTCTGCCTCTCAGTTCCTTCTGCGCCGCCTGGGTGGGGGTCCCTACGGCCTAGCTGGCTCTCGGTACTAGATCTTGCAACTCCCTGGGATCACCTGACTCCAAGTGGAAAGGCTCCCTGCTATTTCCACAATGATCGATGGTGGCAGTCTTGCGGAGCCACATAGCCTAGATTTGAATCCCATCTTTGATGCAGACTATGTGATCTTGGCCAAGTCACTTAATTTTTCTCAGCCTCAGTTTCCTCATCTGCCAAATGGGGATAATAACAGTATATACACATACTAAGCACTCAATAAATTTTAGCTATTATCATCCAGTCTTGTCCAGTACAAACATTTCCACAGAAAGTGCAATACACTTAAGTAAAAGCAAATCTAGCCACCACAAGTAGCATTTGTTGATATTTAAACTTTTAAAATGTTTACCACAAGGCTGTATCAATTTAAACTTCCTTTCAGCATGAGAGCTATGGCTGTGAGTAGAGCACATTACCTGAGGTTCTCTGACAGGCTCATTAAAGATAGACTGAGTGATAGGGTCTTGATTTACCACAGTGGGACTCTGAGAGGAATCAGGAGCCACTGTTATATTTGGAAACCCTACAAAAGGAAAAGAAGTTCTGATGATTTGTTTCATTTAACTAAATTGACTTCACAAGCTCTATTCTGCATATACTCTATATACTGCCCCATACTTGATCATCATATGAAAATCTTAAACAGCAGCTCACATTAATGTAGTGCTTACTACATGCCAGGCACTGTTCTAAATGTACTGACATCTATTAACTCATTCTACCCTCACAAAACCCTGTAAGTACGAATATTATTTTACAGAGCAGTAAACTGAAACTCACAGACTTTAAATAACTAGCCCAGAGTAACATTAATAAATTGCCAAGCCAGAATTCAAGCATTAAATGAAAAACTAAGGCTGTTTCTAGAAGATAAAAAATGAGCTATACACACATTAAAGTAAATGATGCGTGTATCTGACAAGGGGCAACGTTCCTCCGAGACTGAAGCTGCTTCAGGTTTCAAACTAAGCTTTACTCAAGTCGTTTTAAAATTACAAAACCCTGTACTTTACACAAGATATTTTAGTTGATTAAAACAGTTTACTTTTCCTTAGCTGAATTATTTGAAATACAAGTAGTTGATATTCTTTCGGAAAGAGATTATAATAACTGTAACCCTAGCAACCCTTGTAAATCCACCCTACAATACTTGTGATATAAATATGATGTCTACGAAAGGCATTTTAAGTTTTTCCAAATAGTCAGTTGCGGCTATAATTTAATAAGGAAGAGAAGCTTTTGTTTGAATTGAATACCTGTGCACCTACGAGGAAACAGCTCTTTTGCTGCAGATATCCGATGATCAGATTTCTCCAATACATCCTGCGTCTGATATTGATCAGAAAGAATCTAGATACATGTTAATGACAAATATGATTATTCAGATAAACATATAGTTACTTTTCAAATTGCAAAAGAAAAGACCATAAAAAGGCCTGGAGCATGAAAATAACCATAGGCTACCTTCCTAAAATCCTTCAATGGCAATATCCTTACGTACCAGTAGATGGGGCTATGACAATAATTAGTGGCTTTCAAATGCTTGACTCCAAAGAAACACAATTAAATTGTGACCCACGACATTTACATACACGCAAATACACACACACAAACACACACACATATATACAAGTTTTAATTAACGTTGCTCCAAGAGAACCATATTTTCTTAATTTCTATTCCATTTTTAAAATGTTGGCTGCAACCCACTAACTTCACAATTAACAAAATAATCCATAGTTTGAAAAACACAGATTAAAGATATGAATCTCTGAGCTATAACTTAGAAGGTGTTTCAACCATTAGAGTGAATTCAGAATCCACTAATGGGTCATGACCTACAACTTTAAAAACCTAAGATATGAGTTTTAGGATTAAACAAAAAATGTGATGCTTCTGTGTTTAAAAACAGGTAAGTTTTTTACCCTGGAGAGGCGGAAACACAAAAACTACCACTACAGTAGTGCCTCTGATTACCACTTTCCACTTAGGAACTTTCACATATGTTATATTCTAGCTACAGGCTAGAATAAAAGCCAGATAATTCTCTATGCACCACCACCAGATGGCAGTCTTAAGTTAAAAGTGCCTGGAAACTGCTCAGTTTCCAACACGGACTCGAATTGATAAAACATCTGGTAACAAATACTCTTAACAGAATTTCTCTATGCCACGGAATCAAGCACATACATAATGTGACCTCAGTTATTGTTTTAGGACGCAGAAAGAAAAATATCAAGAGTCACATTCTTAACTTTTTCCTTTCTTCTCCTGCTATAACCAAGCAGGTTGGCAGTCTCAGTGAGAATAAAGCCCTAAATTTATTCCTTCCACAAAGACTAAGCTTTGGAATGGTATCAGGGCAAGAGCACAGTTAGAGCCAGAAGACTGAAATGCTAGTCCCAGTCAACAACGCTACAAGGGTGTTACATGGATATGAACTCACTGAAAACCTATATAGCACTCTAGAGACGTCTGAGAATTGTGCTATATCTGGAGATGTCTGAGAATTTATATTATGCCACAAACCAAGTGGGAACGATTACGAGCTTAAGAAAAGAATGTGAATGAATGAGTATAATCTTTCACTACACTAGAAAAATTACACAAAGCTTATTTCCTAAATAACAATTGTAAGAGTTTACATTTTTTTTAAAAAAGCATTGACCTATCAAAATAAAGAAACAGAATTGACACATAAAGACTATAAGTAATAATCTTATTAACCATATTGAGATCTGATTTTTTTTTTATAATGAGGTCTCATGTAAAAGCCGTTATCTGTCACCTTCCGCAAGTCCAAGCTTGCCCAACCCGTGGTACAGGATGGCTTTGAATGTGGCCTAACGCAAATTTGTAAATTTTCTTAAAACATTATGGGTTTTTTTGCAACTTTTTTTTTTTTTTTTTTTTTTAGCTCATCAGATATCATTAGTTAGTGCATTTTATGTGTGGCCCAAGACAATCCTTCTTTTTCCAGTGTGCTCCAGGGAAACCAAGATTGGGTATCCCTGTTTAGTCTCTGCCCTTGGGAAAAAATGGTTTGAGTGGCTTGGCTTTTATTGGATCAGTGTATTGGCTTTTATTTCTTCTTTCTACATTTCTAACTCCTCTCATAAAGCCCATCCTCTTGATAGGTAAACTGATCTCTACAAGCCTAACTGTATATATTACTCCTCAAATGAGTTTGCAGAGCACAAACTTAAACTTGTAACTGGTGGTTCACATGATCGACTTTCAAAGGATCAAAGTCTCTGCCAAAAAAAAAATGATCAGAAACGTTGTCATCTTAGCCCTTTTGTACCATGGTAATAGACACCAGGTGGAATTGGGAAATCACAAAGAGACTTTAGGAGTTATTACATTTTGGGGATTTATAGATCTTTAGGAAAGCCTCCATCTCCCTGAGTGAGAAGGAGCTCTAATTTGCTTGATTCTCATGGTATGGGTACATCTTACAGCAAATGAAATCTAAGACTATGCAGGCCAAACAGCTTTCTCTTAATTTATGTTCACCTAGGAGCCCAGCCTCAGGTGGATGTGTTCTGTTAGCATTAGGAGATAATGATTAAGCTTATGTGGATATGTCTCAGAAGGCTTCTCCCTTTGGTCCACTGAATCCTTAAACATTGCAAATTTAGCAACACTGAAATAAAAGATGCACATATCCATCGACTAAGCAATCCTACTTTTTTTTTTGAGACAAGAGTTTAAACACCTTCTACCACATCTACAACTTACATGAGAAATTCAGGGCATTAGCAGGAACCAGAGGGAAAGGAAATAAAAGCCCAGAGTGTGATGCAGCCCAAGCAGGCTGCCTTTCTTCATGGTCAGATGTGTTTTCACGCCTTTCACTGAGAATTACCACACAGCATTTAAATGTATGTGACTTGTCCAAGGTCACCAAAAGACACTTATCTGTAAAGAAGCATTCGCTCAATAATGCCACTGTTCTTTTCTCAAGCTCATGTAACCACTTACTCCTTCTGGTATCTCTAAGGCTGAGACTTTATTTCAATAAAAAGCCTTAACAAATTGCTCAAAAAACAATGTATGACTGAAAGCTGCCATGAAAGGTCAGACAGCTAAGTGCTGTCCATAAGCTTCAATTAACCGGGAGCAGCACGCCAGACAGAGCACATTCCTTTACAATGACTTCAGCTCAAATTAAAAGGTTACTTGCTGTAGTTTCCTCTTACTTCCCATATTGTTTGTCCCTACATATCTGATTACTTATCCAAACACCCATGTCTGGCAAAAGGTTAAGCCAAAGACAAGTTGCTTACTACTCAGTTGGACAAACATACAACATTATTATGTTGTTTTTCTCAAAGTAATCTCACAGCACTGCTGTTGAACTAAGAAAAATAATTAAAGCAGCTTATATAGAAAAGGAGGAGTAAGCAAAGATTGTGCTCATCACTTTGTAAGTGTACCACTGAAATCTCCTAACAACACAACCAAACAATAATTTTAAATATGAGAAAGTTCAGGCCAAAAAGTTAAATAATTTACTGAAGGTCACGTAGCTAGTATGTTATAGAACAGAAATTCAAACCACCAAACTAGACTCCAATCACTCTGCTGCTTTTTTTGAAGTCCACGTGTAGATTACTGAATAAGAATGCAGTGCTTACTAGAGTCACTCAGATGTGAATCAAATTGAGGGGAAAAACAAAACCCTGTTTATCTCCTTTTTCTAACTCTCTGCAGTTTAGCCTGACCTCCTTCATGATAGACAATCTTCTTTTCTCCAGATTTGAAGTTTCTGGTTTCTGCTTCCTCAATTTTCTCTTCAAAGCTTTTTCTTGGAGTTCCCAGTGTACTAACGCTCTGTTCTTTGATTTGTGTATTTCATGACGACGTACCTGTATAGAAGAGAAAAGAACATAAGGGGGAGAAATGCCAGATACAGGTGACAGGGGGATGGGGGCAGCAAACCACATTGCCATGTATGTACCTATGCAAAAATCCTGCATGTTCTGCACATGTACCCCAGAACCTAAAGTGCAATAAAAGTGTGTGTGTGGGCCGGGCGCGGTGGCTCAAGCCTGTAATCCCAGCACTTTGGGAGGCCGAGGCGGGTGGATCACGAGGTCGGCAGATCGAGACCAACCTGGTCAACATGGTGAAACCCCGTCTCTACTTAAAATTACAAAAAATTAGCTGGGCACGGTGGCGTGTGCCTGTAATCCCAGCTACTCAGGAGGCTGAGGCAGGAGAATTGCCTGAACCCAGGAGGCGGAGGTTGCGGTGAGAGCCGAGATCACGCCATTGCACTCCAGCCTGGGTAACAAGAGTGAAACTCCGTCTCAAAAAAAAAAAAAAAAAGTGTGTGTGTGTGTGTGTGTGTGTGTGTGTGTAAAACATAAAGGAACGTTGTAGACATGAAGAAGTGGCCTATTCAGATGGTGAGACCACCTACTCTAGTTCGTCACTTTTTAAACTTCTTATGGTCCAATAATATGCACATTTGTATATATTCACAGCCAAAATTTTCAGTCCCCTAAATTTTCAAAAATGATCTTCAAGAAATAAGTATACAGAACTGGTAAACCCACCTAAAAGATATACTGAAAGAAATATCAATTTCTACTACTTTTCTGCAAGACTATCCAGCAAACTAGTGTTTTTCAAACCACAGGTTGGGACTCATTTAATGGATGATAAAATCAATTCATGGGTCAAAATCAGCTTTTTTTTTTTTTGACATACACACACATATAGCACAACGTAAAAGGTACAAAATCCACCGAGTCTTCTTTGGCAAAGACACGTTCATTTCGTGATAATCACATCACTGCCAAGAACTAACGATGCAGTGTGTTCACAGCCCTTCCATGGCTTCATGTGGAAGCGGTCACTGAAAATACAGAAATCAGGGAAGTACAAGAAGAGACATGAGCCACAGGTCTTCGGTGTTAAAGGAGAGGTTCATAAGATGCTAAAAATAAAATTAGATATTTGGTTTTATAAGTACTCAAGTATTCAGAACTGTGAACATTAACATATGTGATAAAATGTACTGCTGAGTTTTCTCCATGTAAAGAAGAAATCAACCCATTAAAGAAACAACCAGAAATATAACACATGGATTCTGACTCACAAAAAAACAAATGAAGATGACTTTTTTTAGACAATTGAGGAGATCTGAATACGGGCTGAGTATTAGGTGATACCAAAAAATTCTATTTACTTTTGTTGGATGTAATAATGGCACTGTGATTATGTTGAAAAAAAAAGGCTTATATTTTTTAAAATGCAAACTGAGTAAGCACAAAACGATGTGTTCTCTTGAATTTGCTTTAAAATATTTCAGTGAAAAAAGAAATAGGTAAGATAAAGGAAGCAACTATGGCAAATTTTTAATAACTATTCTATCTGGGTAAACAGTACATGGTAGTTATTTCTACTCTTGTCTCCATTTTCCCATGAGTTTGAAATTTTTCATTTAAAAATGTTAAGTCAGTTGGGCATCACTATTATGCTCAATAAGTAGTTAATAAGCACCTACTAGGATTAGACTCCCAGGTAAATAAAGATGTATAGGATATGGTCTGTATCTCTCAAAAGCATTAATAATCTGCCCACGGAGATTGGCCATATCCATAGAAAGACAAATTACATGAATTAGATGTCATTTACTCAATACCTTAGTTAGATAGTAAGACCAACAATAGTTTAGAGGAGGTAATTGGTCAGTTTCAAAAAACAGGACTTCAAACTTACTATAAAACTATGGTAATCAAGACAGTGTGGTACTGGCATAAGGATCGACAAATCAGTGGAACATAATTGAGAGTGATGAATAAGCATTTATATTATAGACAAGTGATTTTTCAACAAGAGTTCCAAGATCATTGAATGGGGAAAAATAGTGTTTCCAATAAATGCTGTTTGAACAATAATTATCCCTTAACAAACAATTAAGTTGGGCTCCCCTCCTACCACACACCATACAGAACAATTAACTTAAAATGAACCACAGTTCTACATATAAGAGCTACAACTATAAAACTCTTAGAAGAAAACATAGAAGTATATCTTTATGAACCTTGGGTTAGGTAACAGTTTGTTAAACATGACATTAAAAACTCTAGTGAAAAAATAAAAAACATGTAAATTTGACTTCATCAAAATTAAAAACTTTCCAGCTTAAAGGACACCATCAAGAAACTGAAAAAACAACTAAGAAAATGGGAGAAAATATTTGCAAACTGTACCTGATAAGGAATTTATATCCAGAATACACAATTTTTATAACTCAACAATAAAAGCACAAATAATCCAATTTTTAAATGACTAAGGCATTTGAATAGACATTTCTCCAAAGAATACATTACAAGTGGCTGAAAAGTACATAAAAGGATGCTTAACATCATCTGTCATTAGGGAAATGCAAATTGTAACCAAAATGAGACAGCACTTTACATCTACTAAGAGAACTGAAATGAAAAAGGTGACAGTAGCAACAATGTAGGGAAACTGGAAGCCTCATAGATTCTGGTGGGGATGTAAACGGTGCAGCCACTTTGCAGAACAGTGTGATGATTATTCAGAAAGTTAAATACAATGTAGGGAAACTGGAAGCCTCATAGATGCTGGTGGGGATGTAAACGTGCAGCCACTTTGCAGAACAGTGTGATGATTATTCAGAAAGTTAAATACAATGTAGGGAAACTGGAAGCCTCATAGATGCTGGTGGGGATGTAAACGGTGCAGCCACTTTGCAGAACAGTGTGATGATTATTCAGAAAGTTAAATACAATGTAGGGAAACTGGAAGCCTCATAGATGCTGGTGGGGATGTAAACGGTGCAGCCACTTTGCAGAACAGTGTGATGATTATTCAGAAAGTTAAATACAATGTAGGGAAACTGGAAGCCTCATAGATGCTGGTGGGGATGTAAACGGTGCAGCCACTTTGCAAAACAGTGTGATAATTATTCAGAAAGTTAAATATGGGGAAATTACATGACTCGGCAATTCTACTCCTAGATGTATCCACATAAAAGAAGTGACAATGCTCGCACAAAACTTGTACATGAACATTCACAGCAGCGTTATCCCTAACAATGCAAATGTCCACCAACTGAACAACAGATAAAATGGTGGATCCATACACTGGAATATTATTTGACAATGATAAGGAATAAAGAACTAATATGGGCTGGGCATGATGGCCAACACCTGTAATCCCAGCACTTTGGGAGGATCAGGTGGGCAGATTCCTTGAGCCTAGGAGATCGAGACAAACCTGAGCAAGAGACCAAAGCCCTGTGTCTGCAAAAAATACAAAAATTAGCCAGGTGTGGTGGCATGCACTTGTAGTCCCAGGTACTCAAGAAGCTGAGGTGGAGATGGCTTGAGCCCAGGAGGCGGAGACCGCAGTGAGTGGAGACTGATACATGCTAAGACAGGGATGAACCTTGAAAACATTATGCTAAGGGAAAGAAGTTAGACACAAAAAGCCACATATTGTATTCCACATATATGAAGTATCCAGAACAGGCAAATACATAAAAGCACAAAGTAAATCAGTCATTGCTACAAACTGGGAGGAACTGGGCACAAGGAGTGACTGTTAATGGGTATAGGGCTTCATTTTAGGAGTGACTGTTAATGGATATAGGGCTTCATTTTGGGGTAATGAAAACATTCATGTTGCACAACTCTGAATATACCAAAAATCACCAAACTATACACTTGGAACAGGTTTTATGGTACGTGAACTGTATCTCAATAAATCTTAAAAAAAAAAAAAACTAAGTGGAAACTTAAAAAAAAGTAGAACTTGAACTACGATAAGGAAGTAAAGTAAGATTTGAACACATAGAAAAGAAGGTACAGAAACTGTTCCAAGTAAGGAATAGGAGCTCAGACGTGGAAACATTCATGGCATAATCACGGATATATTATGACACTAACTAGAACAATATGTTTGTATAGGGAAGAAACAAATGATGCTGAAATATCTACAGATTGTGTTAAAAGGCAGATAGATGTGCATAGGGCAGTACTGGACTGAAGAGATTTCAGCTATAAACCCAACACATTTATGAAATTCTAATACATACTAATTGATATTCCTAGCTAAAATCAGGAAGTCCAGAAGATAAGCTTTTTGATTTTATACAGACATAAACAAGATTAAACATAAGTGAACAACTACCAGGAAGTGCATATAGTTTCTATTCTAAAAGTTACAAGTCAAATACCAACAAAACACTGAATAAATGACTTCAGTTTTGATAATGAACCTACCAGATCTTCAGGAGTTGACCGATGAACTGTTAGATCAGTCACAGTATTCTGTATAAAAAAAAAAAAAAGGGGGGGGCCTTTCTTTAAAAAAGAAAAAGAAGTTTTCTTATAAAATATACTCACTGGATTTTAATGGCTAAAATGGTTTCAAAATGCTAGAACCAAAAACTCTTTCCTTCTAGGAACCAATACTGTCAATTTACATATTAACACATATTAGTTAGGTGTATCTATAGAAAATAACAGACTAATTTTAGATGTCTTACAGAAAATACTGTATTCACCAAGCAGTCGTGCATTATATTAAAACAATGAATATACTGAAAATGAATATATGGTATATGAATAAATGGCAGTATATATTTAAAAATTTAACTGAAGTTTTAGTTTTCACATTGTGTTCTATGGAATCCCAGGATTATACAACGTAACTCTAAAGGTTCCTAAAAGAAAGTGTGATCACTGGCCACTGTGTCTCACGCCTATAATCACAGCACTTTGGGAGGCTGAGGCAGGTGAATCACCTGAGGTCAGGAGTTCGAGACCAGCCTGACCAACATGGCAAAACCCTGTCTCTACTAAAAATACAAAAATTAGCTGGGTGTGGTGGTGGGCGCCCATAATCCCAGCTACTTGGGAAGGTGAGGCAGGAGAATCACTTGAACCCAGGAGGTAGAGGCTGCAGTGAGCCAAGATTATGCCACTGCACTCCAGCCTCGGCAACAAAGCGAGACTCCATCTCAAAAAAAAAAAACAAAGTGTGATCACTATAGAGAGGTTCAGTTTGTGTCTGCAAACATCTTAAGCGTAGACGCTACTACAGGGAAAGATGAAATTTGAAGGCAATGCATAATTTCATAAAATGTGAAAAGTCATTCAAAAGGCACTGAACTAACATGGCAGGGCTACCACACTGCACGGCTCCATAACTTATCATAATATCGAGTCCACGTAAATAGCACCCCCTGAAATTGTGTGGTACACAGCCTGCACAGTTCAAAGTAGCAACCCTGCAACGTGGCCCTCTCCAAAGCAACTTCAGCCATTTTGCTACACAGATTTGGTAAGACAGGAAATAAAATAAGTTAGTTTCACTTCTAAGTGACGAGGAATACAGAGTCAAAATAGATTCTCATCAAAGACTAAACTTTTTGGCCATGATTTATATTTGGCTCAAGGCTTTTCTATATGAAAACTGTTATTACTTTTACACTGACTTAGAAAGGTAAAAGATAAACGCCAGGCATGGCGGGTGCACTTGCAGTCTCAGCTACTCAGGAGGCTCAGAAGGTCGAGGCAGGAAGATCGCATCACAAGCCCAGGAGTTTGAGGCCAGCCTTGGCAAAATAGCAAGGCCTTGCCTCAAAAAAAAGGAAGAAGGAAAAAGGAACAGGTAAAAGTAAGGTACTACAGGATTATGAGAACGGTTTTCAATAATCATTTAAAAACTCAGGCATACAGATAAATGATATGCTTGAAATTTGTTCTCACGGAAGAAAATAATTCCATCAATACTAGTTGTTTAAAACTTTCTGAAATTGCCTTTAAATCTAATCTACAAGCCATTTCAGAAAATGTCTCACTATTTTTATCAAGACAGTATTCATCAGTTTCATCTCTTCTCCGTCATTTACCATTTACTCCAAATGACTTATGACTATTGTCCAAGTTCAGTCTACCTTCAAAAAAACAAAAGATTTTTCCAGCATTGCAGATAATAAAAATAAATGAGGAAGGTTCTTAATGCAATTTCATATGATAGGTTTCAACTAAGTTCTGAGCAACGGCAGCATACTGGAATAAATGCAGTCATCCCACAGTATCCAGGATCCCCACATATATCAAAATCCACGCATGCTCAAATCCTACGTAACTGCATCTCCACGGTGCGAAACCCACGTACGGGTTCTGCATACGTATTTTCAATCCATCTTTGGTTGCAGAGGTGGAACCCAAGGATACAGCCAACTATATTTATCGAAAAAAAATTCATGTATAAGTGAACCCGTGAGGCTCAGAGCTGATGTTGTTCAAGTCACCTGTCCTGAACTTCCCAAAGTCACCACTCTGAAGGGGAAACACTTATGTTATCATGTTTTTCCTATTTATCAGTTCCTTACCTTACAGTCACATTCTTATTATTAAAATTTTACAGCCAATCAGACAGCAACAAAAGAAGTCCCGCTCCCCCACTTCAAAGGCTGTCAGTTTGCCCAGGATATCTGGCTAATACGGTACATGGCAAACCGGAATATTCCAAGTTCAAAAGAATCCTTAAGATCCAAACTAGCTACTCAGGAGGCTAAGGCAGAAGGATCGCTGGAGTCCAGGAGTTTAAGGCTGCAGTGAGCTATGATGGCAACACATCACTCCAGCCTGACAGAGCATGACCCTGTCTCTTAAAAAAAAGATATAAATCCCCGTGGTAACACCAGGCAATATTCAGGTTAGGAGCCAGAGACGGTATGTCGCAGGTATTTGAGACTTGTCTTACATTGTAAGAGAACATTTGTTCTGAAACCGATCAACCTCTGGAAGTGAGCGATTTATGGGATAAAAGAGCAAAGATCACCTATTTTTTTCGGCCAAAAATGGCACTCACATGCTTATGAAATCACTGGTTGCTCTGAACAAATCAAAAGGTACTGAAAAAATTCACAGCCTTCAGTGACCCCCGCGAGCTGCAGTTGCCTTTATGCAGTAAGTTCTCAAAGAGAAAGTGAGAAGACTTTCTTTTAAATATGCTCCCCATTCCCTTAAGATTCCAATTCTTCAAAGGAGATAGACGTTACAGCCTGGACGTGTGTATTCTAAAAACCTCCCCCAAAGGATGCTGCTCTTTCCCCCAAGAACTGGACTACCACACGCCCAGAAACCTATTTCAGCCTATTACATGATGAGCCCCATTCAGAACACCATCTTCCATGGCCAGAGCCGTATCTCCATGTCCATGCCTACAGAGTAATGTGACATTATCTACTGTCCCACTTATACTCACATCCCATTCTTGCTTCACTGAAGCTTTCTTCTTCTTTACTTTCAGTGTCTTTCTTACACCCACTCGGGGACCACAGCGGTTCACTCTGACAAATGACATCTGGGAATAATAATCACATCAACTTTTTAAAATACAAGTAAAAGCAATAAGCATCACCAGAGCGGGATGAGACCTAGAAAAACACATTTTAAAATGTCAGAAAAAAAATTGAAGCATGATGAAAGGAACAGGCTATTAAAATACTTAGTTCTTTCATTTTACAACTAAGAAAAGTTGGTACTGATAATTAGAATAAAAGAGGTCTCAAGTCAATAACATGTATACATATGATTAATAAAGAACTCTAAGAATGCAAAAATTATGGCCTAAAGCAGAGAACTAAAACAGTAATCATAAGCTACGTCCTCAGTTACACACATTCACAATTAGTAGAAAATAGGCTAGTTAGGCCAGGCGCGGTGGCTCACGCCTGTAATCCCAGCACTTTGGGAGGCCGAGGCGGGTGGATCACGAGGTCAACAGATCGAGACCATCCTGGTCAACATGGTGAAACCCCGTCTCTACTAAAAATACAAAAAATTAGCTGGGCACGGTGGTGCGCGCCTGTAATCCCAGCTACTCAGGAGGCTGAGGCAGGAGAATTGCCTGAACCCAGGAGGCGGAGGTTGCGGTGAGCCGAGATCGCACCATTGCACTCCAGCCTGGGTAACAAGAGCGAAACTCCGTCTCAAAGAAAAAAAAAAAAAGAAAATAGGCTAGTTAAAGCTAATAATATAAATGTAAGGTGAAGGGAGGAAAGGGAAGAAGAAGTTGGAGTTCTTTTTTAAGCACTCTAATACTCAAAATCACTACCAGGTACATATGTGCTTACCTGAAAATAAAGGCAGCTCACATTTAGAGAACAAATGAGGTATGATACCACTTCTAAGATATCTGTCACATGATGCTAAAAGGGGCTACTTACTGATTTTTTTCTATTGCTGCTATACAAATTAATCATTATTGATTTGAAACTAGAATTTTTAAATTGCCAACATTGGCTTGCCACTGTTTACATAGCAATGCTAAGGACACTAGACTACATATTATACCAAATTAGGAAAATGCCCATAATCCCCAAACACCAGGATTTTACAATACATATATGACTTTTAAAAAGCAGTCTATACACATGACGACTGCTGCAGATCTTTTTAACCTACCTAAATAATTACAGAACTTTCCAGCTGACCCCCTTACTCCCAATGAGCCTAAAACAAGAACTCTAGTACTTTCCTTAAATACTTTTTAAAAAATTACTGTCTACTACAATAAAAATGTCTAAATACAAGTATTTCTTAAGGTTTGTCCTCAATCTTCCTTGCACTCTGTACTCTCTCTTAACAAGAACATTCACTCCTTAAACATGGCATCTAATTTCAGCATTTACAATTCAACCCAAGAAAACAAGTCACATACAAGTTGGTAATGATGATGATGACGGCAGAGGTGGTAAGGATGGCATCGGCTAACACACACTGTGTGCTTACTCTAAGCCAGATACTATTCTAAGCTCTTCAAACATTATTTCTTGAATCTTCACAATAACCCCATAAGGTACTTACTAGTTATTGCTCATTTTACAGATGAGAAAACTAATAGACAAAAATTAACCAACCATGAAGATCACACGGTTAGTAAGTAGCAGAGCCGTAAGTACCATTTAAAAAGATATGAAGTGTAATAGAATAAGAGTCTAAAACTCTTACATTTTTAGTTTACTTTCAACAAGAGTGCTAAGACAATTCAATGGGGAAAGAATAGTCTTTTCAACAGATAGTACTGGGACAACTGAATACACATATGAAAAAGAATGAAGTTGGAATCCTACCTCACACCATATTCAAAAATTAAATTGATTCATGGATAGAAATGTATGGAGCTAGAACTACAAAACTCTTAGAAGAAAACAGGAATAAATCTTCATGAGCCTTGGGTTAAGCAATGGTTTCTGAGAAATGACACAAAAAGTACAAGCAACCAAAGAAAAAAAAAATTGACCTTAATGAAAATTAAGAATTTTGGTGCTTCGAAGGCACAATCAAGAAGATGAAGACAACCAATAGAATTGGGAGAAATTATCTGCAAATCATTTATCTTGAATCCAGACTATAAAAAGAATTGTTGGGCTGGGCGCAGTGGCTCAAGCCTGTAATCCCAGCACTTTGGGAGGCCGAGGCAGGTGGATCACGAGGTCAAGAGATGGAGACCATCCTGGTCAACATGGTGAAACCCCGTCTCTACTAAAAACACAAAAAATTATCTGGGCATGGTGGCGCGTGCCTGTAATCCCAGCTACTCAGGAGGCTGAGGCAGGAGAATTGCCTGAACCCAGGAGGCAGAGGTTGCGGTGAACCAAGATTGTGCCACTGCACTCCAGCCTGGGTAACAAGAGCGAAACTCCGTCTCAAAAAAAAAAAAAAAAAGAATTGTTACAAGTCAAAAATTTTAAAAATCCGATTTAAAAATGGGAAGAGGCCTTGAATAGACAATTCTCCAAGAAAGATGCTATACACAGCTAATAAGAACATGAAAAGATGTTCAACGTAATTAGTCATTAGGGAATTACCCATCAAAACCACAATGAGATACCACCTCACACCAACTAGGATCGCTATAATCAAAAAGATGGACAACAAGAAGCACTGGCAAGAATATGGAGAAACTAGAATCCTCACATATTGCTCACGGAATATAAAATGGTGTAGGCACCCTGGAAACAGTTGGCAATTCCTCAAGAAGTTAAATACAAGAGTAACCACATGATCCAGCAATTCCACTCACATATTTACTACATACAAAAAGACTGAAAACACAAGTGTACATAAAAACTTGTACATAAAAGGTCACGGCAGCATTTTTACCAGACAAAAACTAGAGACATCCTAAATGTCCACCAACTGATGACTGTATTAATAAAATGTGGTATATCTACACAATGGAATATTACTTGGCAATAATAAGCAATAGTGTACTGATATATGCTACAACATGAATGAATCTTGAAAGGGTTCTAAACACAGAAGGTCCCATATTGTTTGATATCATTTATATGATGTTTCTAGAATAACCACAGAGACATAGATTAGTGCCAGCATCTAGAGGGAGCACAGAATGGAGAGTGACTGCTAATGGGTTAGGGTTTCTTTGGGGAGTGAAGAAAATGTTCTGGAATTAGACAGCGATGTTAGTTGCACAATTATAAGAATAGACTAAAAATCTCTGAACTGTATACTTTAAACGGTGAATTATAGCTTAATAAAGCTGTTATTTTAAAAGATATGAAAACAACTGTTATTCAAAGAAATAAATCTAATGTAAACACTTAGATCTTTAACCACTGAGATCTCCAATTTACTCTGCAAAAACAAAAAGGAGTCATAAAATGTCAGTATACCTATATGATGAATTATGTACCCATTAACATTATATTAAGGAAATGTTTAAAATTATATTAAGTAAAATATATAAGAAGTATAAAAAGTAGAATACAGAACTGTATATATAGTATATTCTCAATGATGTTGGAATATAGGCATTATTAATAAAACACTTATCTCTGCTAAGAGCTTCACATTTGATCCCACAACCCCGTGAGGCCTGTTCTGTCTTGAGAGACGATATAGTATAAAGGCGAAGAATGCAGTCTGAAATCACTGGGTTTACATCCCAGCTTCGTCACTAACTATAAAACAGAACTAAGGAAATATATAAGAGCTTAGAACCCCGGCTGATATGGTTTGGCTGTGTCCCCACACAAACCGCATCTTGAATCCCCACAGTCCCCACATGCTGTGGGAGGGACCCAGTGGGAAGTGACTGGATCATGGGGGCAGTTTCCCTCAGGATGTTCTCAGTGAGTGATTTCACACAAGATCTGATGGTTTTATAAACGTCTGGCATTTCCCTGTTGGCACTTACTTTCTCTCCCACCATCTTGTAAAGAAGGTACCTGCTTCTGATTGGCCTTCTACCATAATTTTAAGTTTCCTGAGGCCTCCCTACCCATGCAAAACTGTAAATGGATTAACCTCTTTTCTTTATAAATTACCCAGTTTCGAGTGTTTCTTTATAGGAGCATGAGAACAGACTAATACACCTGCCTAGCATACAAAATTGCATTTAAATGTTGAGGATAATGATGTCAGTGACAACTATCAACCCCTTCCCAAAGAAGAAAAATGAGGCTGGAATAATCAATGTAGTGAAAATAGCCAAACTGCCATTTTTAAGTAATTTAAAGATTCAGTGCTATCCCCATTAAACTACCATTACCATCTTCACAGAATTAGAAAAAGCTATTTTAAAATTCATATGGAACCAAAAAAGAGCCCATATGGCCAAGATAATCCTAAGCCAAAAAAAAAAAAAAAACAAAGCTGGAGGCATCATGCTACCCTACTTCAAACTATACTACAAGGCTACAGTAACCAAAACAGCATGGTACTGGTACAAAAACAGACACATAGACCGATGGAACAGAATGGAGAACTCAAAAAATAAGACTGTACACCTACAACCATCTGATCATCAACAAACCCGACAAAAACAAGCAATGGAAAAAGGATTCCCTAATTAATAAATGGTGCTGGGAAAAAGAGTGAGTCATATGCAGAAAACTGAAACTAGACCCCTTCCTTACACATTAAACAAAAATTAACTCAAGATGATTAAAGACTTAAATGTAAAACCCAAAACTATAAAAACCCTAGAAGAAAATCTAGGCAATACCATTCAGCACATATGCACAGGCTAAGGTTTCATGATGAAAATGTCAAAAGCAATTGCAACAAAAGCAAAAATTAACAAATGGGATCAAATTAAACTACAGAGCTTCTGCACAGCAAAAGAAACTGTCATCAGAATAAGTGGACAATCTACAGAATGGGAGAAAAATTTTGCAACCTATCCATCTGACAAAGGTTTTATATCCACAATCTACAAGGAACTTAAACAAATTTACAAGGAAAAAAACAAACGACCCCTTAAAAAGTGGCCAAAGGGCGTGAACACACACTTCTCAAAAGAAGACATTTATGCACCTAACAAACATATGAAAA